AAAAGAGAAAAAAGAAAAGAAAAAGTAGAGAGAGAGAGAGAGAGAGAGAGAGAGAGAGAGAGAAAGAGAGAGAGAGAGAAAACAATAATGAAAGAAAATGAAAGAACGAAGGATTTGTCCTTTGCGTAATGATGAATAATACTCCATTTTTGTTGTTGTTTGTTTTTTTTTTGTTTCTTGTTTTCTATCTTTTTTCTCGAGAAAGAAAAAAAAAAAAAAGGAAACGAACGTTCCGATGTTCTCCATTATTGCGAATATATCGTACATATGTATATGTATTTTGTTAGCTCTCGCGTGTCGCGCGAATTAAAATTGTTTAAATATAATGGACATACATATTGATATATTTATGTATATCTATATATTATATTTTTGCATTAATTTCGATTAAAATATTTGTTATTTGATCTTGTATGTAAATATAATGGGAATAATCCTTAATGATGTTTAAAATAAAAACGCGCGCACGTACGCGCGCATACACACACACACACACACACACAAACACACATACGCATACACATATATATACACGCATGCACGCACCATATATATAGACAGATAGTGAGACAGACGGACGGACGGACGGACAGACAGAAGAGAGAGAGAGAGAGAGAGAGAGAAAGAGAGAGAGAGAGGACACACAAACAAGCAGATAATACTCAAAAAGTAATTAAAAATGGATCATATGAGGGTCTCATTATACCTAGGCTGTAATGATGGTACGATATACATACATACATACATAAATAGGTCATAATGTGATAGGTTACGCGTATATTAGAAAAGAAAATAAATGTGGGAAAAGAAATGAGTGGAAGTAATAAAGAAAGAAAGAAAAAAAAAAAAAAAAAAAAAAAAAGAGATAAAGAAAAAAAAAAGAAAGAAAAAAATAAAGAAGGAAAGAAAAAGGAAAAGAACTTATTCAGGTTATATATTGGATAAAATGAAAGAGACAAAGCGCGTTTTCCCGTTCATGTTGGAAGCCTAAGAGAAAGAGAGAGAGAGAGAGAGAGAGAAAGAGAGAGAGAGAGAGAGAGAGAGAAAGAGAAAGAGAGAGTAGTCGATATACATATATTTTTGAGAGGAAAAAAAAAAGGAAAAAGAAAAAAACAAAGAAAAAAGAAGACAAGAGAGAGAGAGCGTAAAAAAAATAAAAAAAAAAATAAATAAAAAGAAGAAACACAATACGTTTGGCCTATTATTAAGATTATTATAAATTCATGCAACGCACAATGAGAATGATCGATGTTAAAGAAGTACTCGATGAAAAAAAAAAAAAAAAAAAAGAAAAATGAAATCCAAACAGAAACGATAATTTTTTCCTTCGTTTTTGTTTCGTTCTTTTCATAACAATTGTTTTCTCCGGAATGGCAAGACAACAACAAAAAAGAAAAAAAGTGAATAAACGCAAGTAATATCTTATTGAAAAATGTGACCGTCCTTTTATTTTCTTTTTTTTTTCTTTTTTTTTTTGTCATTAACGACGCGTCGTAAGCGTTCGAAAGAAGCAAGGTGAAGTAAAAAAAAAAGAAGAAAAAGAAAAACAAATAAAAAGGGTTTACTTGCACGCACACGCAATTGCACACACAATTGCATTCTGTCGAACGAAAAGGCGAAGGAATATATGCGGGAAATTTTTTGAAGAATTTTTTGTTCCTTTTGATTTCGTTCTTGTTACGTGTGATGACGCCATTGAAACATACATTGATAATCGTACAATTTCAAGGAAGAAAAAAAATTTGCAAAGTAATTATCTCTTTTCGTTTATGTATGTAAGAGAAGAAAAAAAAGAGAGAGAGAGAGAGAAAGAGAGAGAAAATAAAAAAAAAATAATTCAAAGAAAAAATTCACTTCGTATAAGAAAAACGAGGATTTAATTATTTTTATTTTACTAATACACACGTTATTGTTACATACACGCATATATATACATATATATATATTTATATATATTTATATATATTTATATATATTTATATATATTTATATATATATATATATATATATATATATATATATATATATATATATATATAGATATATTGTTACTTTACACAACGAGCTCTTGTGCGTTCCATGTATTGTAAATCGTTTGAAAGTTTAATGAAAATAATGTTTCCTTGTATGTAGCGTATTGCGCATTGTTATATTTACATGCAACGCGGTTAATTTGTTAACGTTAAATTCTACAAGCTTTGAAAAAAAAAATGAGAGAAGAAAAATAAAAAGAAGAAATAGAAGAAGAAGAAAAAGAAGAGAGAAAAG